ATAATTTAATAACAGTAAATCGTATAATAATTAATTATAGGTCAAAATGAAGCTTATAATAAGGGGAATATAGATATACATAATCTAATTACTGAATAGTATAGATAATATTAGTCTATTAATAGGTCTCAGAAGTTACTCGTAATGTAATCTTCGCTAGGATATAACAGGTATTACCATATATTTATAAGTTTTTAGTAAATTCGGGTGATGGTTAATGGTGTAATCGAAGACGTGCGTTTTCTCATGCTTGCGACTATTCATCTGGGTGTGTTAACACTGTAACTCAATCCCTATTTCCTTAGGTTCAAGCTTTTAATAAGTAACATACTGAGCTATCGAGTCTACAGAGTAGCTAGCTAGTTCAGTGAAGATAAATTTAATTTATTTAACCGCAGTAACACTCTCGGTTAAATTTTTATTTCCTGTTTATTGTTATTATAACTAGTCTGAATCTTTTTTTTAACGTAAAGTAAATCTGTAATCCCTTTATAGATTTAAACATTCAAGCAATTACATTTCCCTATGCCACTTTCCAATATTATTATTATTATCATCATTATTTTGTTTACTTTACCACTGTTTTGGGGTAATCACTATAAACTTAATTATTTTGTTTCTCTTGATCGTAATTTGTACATGGTTATTGTATATGATCATGTTGTGGTTTCTCTTCGTCTCTCTATCCTATTCCATTTGTCTATAAAGTGAATTGTTTGGAATGTAAAAAGTAATTCAGTTAGTCAGTCAGCTACAACGTAGGACCAGGCACATATATGCATCGGTCCAAGTGGCCATATCTCAATAACACAACAAGATGAATACCGGATTCATATAATAATGTAACCGTCGGTTGGAGAGCAGTAAGACTAGAGGGAACAAAGGCAAATTCGTACTGCCGACTGTACAGATGTGTGACAGTAGTAGGGTGTTTCCTTCAGACAACCAGCATGACAGCGATGCTGCCTTCCCACAAGGAGGGGTGGGGTTAGAAAACGTCCACCCTAAAAATACATACCTCGCTTTATCCCACGAGTATCCGTCTCTGGTGGTAAGGTCTCAACAAGTAGGGAGCTAACATGAACATTACTCATAAAAAGGTCGTGTGTGAGCGACCTCAAGCAGTTGTCTCTTTGGCAGTGCGGTCACTCTCTCAAGTCACTAAGACCACCCTTGACCCACTTTCCTTTTCAGGTCCTCTAGAGGAACCCTTTCACGGTGTAAGCAATGAGGAATTGATAACTTCCTTATACCTCTAACAGCACTCAAGACCACTGTATTCATGATCAACCTCCCTCTTCAATTCCTATTATTCCTGCTTCATCGACTTTCAACGCTTAACGTCCTCTTTCGGCTTTCCCCTCAAGTGTCATTATAGCCAACGATTCTAGTGCTCAAAACACTGTCCCAGGTCTACTGAAACCTCGCTCCAAACTACACATTGGAGCCTTCAACGTACACACTCTATGCCAAATCGGTCAGCAGGCTTCCTTGGCTAGAATCCTAGAATCTCGTACCATTGATGTATGGTGTGTCTCTGAAGCACGCATACAGGATCTCACTGTGGTCATTCACTTGGCCTCACCTCGGCAAAACGGAGCACCAACGAGATACACCCTCCGTGTATCTGGTGACCGGACGGCCAGTTCTCGTAGACTGGCGGGTGTGGGCATAGCATAAAAAATAATTACAATACATTATCAATTTAGCGTCTAAAAAAATTACTTACATTTTATCAGTTTTGTGCAAAATTTTACGAGAAATCAAGGTAACATCGTATCAGTGTCCAACCACTAAGTAATAATACGATAATTAACATTTATGGATACATACTCATGTAAGCATGGTGGGTTAGATTTTAACAGAATATGTACATAATCGGTTCTTTTTAAGATATGATAATAGAATAAAGATCTGTTTCGTATGCAAAATTCATTTATGTGGCTAGTTACTCTAAATTTTGGAGATTTTTTTATTAAGTGAACGAAAACGGGAGAAATTTCATGCCCCCATAGCTCCAGCAACTAGTGAGAGACCTTGAGGAGCAACGCAGATTAGAGTTATGGACATTGGAAATTCAATTTGGGTGATAAAATCCTCGTAAACCATGCTTTGTGACACCAATAATACGGTCTGAACAAGAAATTTTCATCAATTCAAATGAATTAGGACTAACGGCAGATGTATGATTAGGATTTGTACATCCGATCATTTTGATCAAATTCTTAACATTATTAATGATACAATATACATTGACAATATCTATCAACATAAGATTCGATTCTACTCAAGATTCTATTACGAAAGCCTGAGTCTGACGATGATTGCAACCTGCATACAAAGATAAAACTGTCTCATTATCTATTAATAAATATTGAATATGAAACAAAATCATCTTCAGGTCTATTAACAGTTCTAAGACAAGTCTAATTAGTAAACATTTCTGTTAATTTTTGTACAGTAGAATCAAAAGAAAATACGTTGGAATTCTGGTAAGATAAGGTTCGAATAATTTTCATGCTCGGCTGCGCCAAGCTTACGAAGTAGAATTCTCACTTTTGAAGAGTAATCGTAATGAGAAAACTGAAATGGGAAAATGTCTTCATATTTGTCAAACCATGATTCCCATGTGACACAGCATCAGGATCAAAATGAAACTCGCTCATTCAGTTGATCAGTGATTCAGTAATTCAGACACTTGTACTGAGTTTTCTCAAATTGAAAACTTTTGTGTAATCATTTCGATCATTTTCAATTGTGATGCTTGAAATTCTCTTTACTGCAGTTCCAAGATTGATTTAAGCTGATCTGCTAAAACAGATACTTGGAATTTTTTTATTTTTGCTTGGGTTTGATAAAAATAACGTCACCAGAAACTGTTATGATGGGTGGTGTCCGAAACCTGGTACTGATACAAGATGTGCTACGCGCTAACCCCTCAACTGGCTACGTGGGAGAGAACACAAGAGTTGACGAGAAAGTATATTGGGCTACCGAATAAAATGCACAAATCCTCATTTATATATACACAACTCTACGACTTAAGAAATCAATCCATTTCTTAGCTAATAAATCCACCTGTCCTTGATGTCATTTCTGATTGTCATCGACTGACTTTCTCATTTGGCTAATTCTGATTGGCTTACCATATCAGAGGTACTTGATAGGTATCCCAACTTTACTTGTTCGATAAATTCTGTTTAACCCAGAGGATCACAGAAAAATGACATAAGTTATCAATCAGTGATCAGTCATTATAAATATCTCAGCCCTATATGAGGTCAGTCACGACCCTGTGACAACATCTTTATGTTACATAGGTTATTTCAAAGTTGTAGATGTAGCTCATTTCAGTTCATATTATGCATTTTTAACTTTTGAACATTGTTGAATCAGCAGAAAACCCACAAAATTTAGTCATTCAATAAGATAATATTCTAGATCGAATAAAATTATTTTTCCCATTGTGTTTATCAGTCCAACTATTTTAAAACGATGAATATCATGTGTTCTATTATATAATCACCATGAAATAATCTTACTCTACAGTACAGAAAAATTTCCATTTTTTTAAAGAAGACTAGATTATCACAATAACTGTAAAGGTGAATCAATTAATTTCCCAAACAAATTAATTGAGCTAACTCAAAAATTTCAGTATTATTTTGAATATTAATGAAAGTAATGGGTTAACCTTCATAGATCATTCATAAGATGGTGATTGAAGGTAGTCGAAAGGAAACCCTGAACATATCTTTCGTACTGTTTGGTCGTTAGGATTCAATCTGCACTAAGAAGGACCTGATACACATGACATTGATCACCAACCAGTGATTAGTCAATTGTAAATAAATCTCAGTCCTACAAGAGGTTAATCATGGCCCGAATATCCCAGTTGTAACGTCTCTGATTGTAAAGCTGGATGACACGAGATCGAATCCGTCAGGAAGCATCAGTTACTTCAAGATTACAAGTACATCTTGCTGACGATTGCCAAATAGCACGAAACCCGGATCCAGGGTTTCCTGTTGACTACCTCCAACCACCATCTTATCTCAACATAGTGCACGCAATATCAAGTCACCTAGACTAATGGTCACATTTCAACTTGGTCGATAGCAATCGATCTGCACTAAAAAGAACTTGATACACATGATATTGATCACCAACCAGTGATTAATCTATTGTAAAGTAGATCATTCTTATTTGTAGTGTAGATATTTAATCTAGGTATGGTCAGTTTGACAGTAGAACTAAGAATTGACTAATTTTTTTATACATTATGCATTTATTAGCAACATTAATATTAAATAAATTGATTAAATCAAGTTATTTGACCTGTCTGGTTGATCGATTAATGGCTTCAGCTTTAATTCATTAAAATAATAATGGATAGTTGTATATAGTGATCAATATAAATGGTGTTTGTTTTATTATGAATTTTGATATGGACTCTTAACAGCGTCAAATGCATTTCGAGTTTTTATATTAGAAGTTATTTTTGATCATGCACTTATTTATTTACTTACTTACTCCTGTCACCAGTGATGGAGAAGCGAAGGCCATCCATAAAGATTCTCAATCAAACTTCGTCCTGGTACCTCTATAAAAACTTTTTAAAAAATTGAAAACCTACAATTATATAACTATATAATATACCCTTGTGGACCAGGGTAATTTTACATTGGTTTTCAGGAGAACCAGACACCACCCGGACTTTCACGTGACAACCCAAACAGTACAGCTCAACCTCGTTTAACAGGAGAACCAGACACCATATAGACTTTAACGCTATAATCTGATTAGTACAGCTCAATCTTGTGGCACAACCACACAGGTACCAAGCACCTAGGTGGACCATTATATCACTCTTGAATTCATTGATGAGAACGGCAAACGATCTGATATATACACTTGATGATGTTTGATTCATTTCTGTAAATACTTTTATCAGTCGTTAAACTAATCATTCTTTGATTATTAATTTTCTATCTTTTTAGATATTTGCCCTGGTATTTTTAGCAGTGTTAGAAAGTGGTATTCTTTATACTATACTATCACAATGGTTAAGACATTTAGAAGTTGGTGTAACATTTGCTGTTCAAATGTTTCAACCTGGCTTAGAAGATAAAACAGTTATGGCAAATATACAAGAAGCTCTTCATTGTTGTGGTAGAGGATGTAAGTTTTATCTTGTGAATTAATTAACATACTATAGATAAGTGGTTTTTGTAAACTGAAATTCTAGGCAATCATTCTAGGTAACTGGATAGTATCAATAGCTTAGAAACTCATAGTTAATAAATCGGTTACAATAACTTGATTTAGTCAGTATTGAGAGATCTTCAAATGTAAAACTTTGTGTGAAAGTGATTAAAATTAGCAGTATGATCTACTGAAGTTACCATAATTCATTATTTATGAATTTTCGGACATTAAAATTAATCACTTGATATTGTTTTACTTGAATCTTCCCATTGATGTTTTTGGGACTGAAATTGATCAGTCTCTTATTCGAGTAAAACAATATCAAGTGAATTAAACTTCACCCCATTGCACAAGCAAGTGGCTATCAGCACTCAGTAGGTGAGTGGATAACGCGATGGCGTTTGAAGCGAACGGTACTGAGTTCGAGTCCCAGGGTGAACATCAACTCTGAGATTTAGGTACATCCAGCTTACGAGTCCCAAACAGGACGAAGCGTGCGTCCTGGATTCCACTGCTAGTCACTATCCATCTTTGCTTATTAAAATTATTGTAACCCTTATAGTTTGATTAAGCCATATAATCTCATAAAGACTTTATTATGAAGTGATTTCTTTTGTTCTTTGTTGGAGTATCATCGAACTATTGATGTTTATCAGTTGTGAATCTATCGAATCACGTATATGATTCAATATCACGTTAAACCTATTTATCATCTATACTTTCGACTTCAACTTATACAGATTAGAAAATTTTCTTACAAAACATTTCGTCACTAATTTCTATGATAACATACTTGAACACTGTAAGTTCTAACCTTAAACTATAAATAATTTTCAGTTATTTACTTGTCCAATTACTTACATACACCTATTATCCATCATGGAGAACTTGTGGGGCCCTTGGTTTTGTCGTCATTTAGATCGAACGATGTTGTCGAAAGGGCTCTTCACTTTAGTGCCCCGAAATCTTACTCCAAGGAGATCGTAATGATTGATTGTTATTGAAATATATATGTCGCCTATCGTCGTATATAATCATCGACTTAAATTACGTTAGTCAATAACGGATTTAGATAAGGTATATGGGCTTAACATAATAACCGACACTACAAACTATAGGCCGCCTATCAGGATTTTTCGTCAAATTCCAGTTGTTTCTAAATTACTATTCATTATTTGGAGGCAGACATCAAAAACATAAATAGCAGTTGGAAATCACTGGGAAGGATGTCCCATTTACGGATATTAAAATTAATGAAATCTATCATGATTATGTAAAGTAATTCAAAGATCTGATGATAAAAAAGAACTAATATCCGAGGGCTTAGTCGAGAAATGAATGAATTGTTATATCGAGTTATATAATCGATAAAATACTCAATATAATATGAGAGGATTGATTACATTGACTGAGTCCAGTATTAATAACGGTAGTGTATTCATAAAGAGTATGTTGCAGCTAATCAATAAATAGAGAACAATAATTTTGTTACAAAGATATTTGTGAAAAGAGAGAGATTCTGTAATAAATCAACAGTAACTCACTTAGATATTGATTATTATGATGACAAAAATAAGGGGAATGATTGTAAAAATGGCGAGACCATAATTTGTAGACGAAACAATCAGGTACAAAATGATAGGTCTCGGATTTGGAGGCGACATTCACTCATCCATTTGCCGAAATAGAGTTTTTGCATTGTAACTGATGCTAATTCGTAATGAAAATTCTAAATCTTATTCCTAATCTTAAACATCAACTGTAAATCATAATTCTAATCCTCACACAGGTTTATAATGCTTATTTGGTCCTAGATATTAGGTGGACATTCTCAAGGTCAGTCTAGCGTCGCTTAAAGGTCTCATCGTAAAAATTTCTTATGAATATTAAAGATAGGTCTATTCAAATGGATACCAATGGCTTCAGATGTATGTAAAAGATATATGCTTAAAGAATAGGTTATATTTAGTAGGATTTAATTAATGATTTAAAACGTATTGTTTACGATCACTTAATGCTCCATATTTATTTTATTATTGATAAAATCGAAATTCTCGTAGCTACTGTACAAAATAACCCTTCTGATATGAATCAAAATATACTCACTAGTGACTCGCTTCAAGAGATATATCCTGGAGTTCTAGTGAGAAGCAGTAACCAATGGAGTTCAACCAGGTCTGTTGTGAAATAGTAACTCACTGATGACAATAGTAGATGTGTCACTCAATTTTGTGGATTAGTTGGAGTTAGACAATAATACCGTTGGATATCAACCGACTCAGTGGTCTCGATGATAAGCACTTGCGCGCGAGATCGATAGATCCTGGGTTTGAATCTCGTGGGGGGCGGTTTCGTGGATGTGCACTGCTGAGGAGTCCCACAATAGGAAGAAACGACTGTCCACTACTTTCAGTTTTTCCATTGTGGTCTAGCTTCGATTGACTCATGATCTCAACCACTGAAATTACTACAATATTCACAAAATCCCTTCTCATATTAAGTTGTTGTTGTATATATATGTTTTGTATCATTTCATCAGTGTTGATTTTTCTCTTTCCTAATTATTTTTCTTTTTTTTTTTAAAAAAAACCAATAGCTTATGACGATTATGGTGTGGCTAATGAAGCAATACCTAAACAACATGTACCATATTCATGTTGTGATTTACAAACTTATACAAATGAACATTGTAATAATGCATCAAAATTAACCAAAAATAAACTTACTTCATTAACAATACAATCACCTGAAATGAATAATCTATTTTATGTTATTCCATATTATTTAGCTTATCCTGAAGGTTGTGTAAATCGTTTAAAAAATTTATTTTTACCAATAGTTATTGGATGTTTTTGTCTTTTAATATCTGTGAATATTATTGCAACATTTATCAATTGTTTCTATGTACAAAAAGCTGCTGATGAAGAAGAATATGAACAAAATTGGCTTGATTCACAAAATTTTTTAAAAGAAACTAAAGGTTAGTTGCTATGGAAATATAAATAATTATAACAGTTCATGTCATTGTTTAAGACAGTTACTCCTAATGGAGCATAGGTTGCCGACCAGCATTCTACAACTCACTCTGGCCTGGGCCTTCCTTTCTAGTTCTGTCCAATTTTTGTTCATTCTTCTCATGTCTGTCTCCATCACTCGGCGTAATTTGTTCTCTGGTCCTCTTCTCCTCCTAGCTTGGCCTTGAGGATTCCATGTGAGGACTTGACTTATGAAACAGTTGGGTGCTTTCCTCAATATGTGTCCTATCCACTTCCAGTGCTTATTCGTGATTTCTTCCTCCACTGAGATCTGGTTTGTTCTCTCCTATAATAGGTTGTTGCTGATGTTTAAGACAGTTACCTATTTCATATCACTGATGAGCATTGCTAAGGAGTCCCATATAAGGACGAAACGGATGTCCTATGCTACCATGTTTTCAATAATGATCGACACGTGAAAATTCAACTGTGAAACTTACAATAGTATTGATTAATAATCAAAAGCATAATAGGTATGTAAATCAGCTAAGAAAGTATTGAAAGGACAGTGTCATGAAATGATATATATCTCATCTGTGTCTTCAAACGCATTTATTGGAGTTCAGCTTGATTTTTCAAATCATTTGTGTATCCGTTGTCATGTGGTCATTGTTAACAAAAAGAGCTGTTATATTTTGAGATTGAATAGTTTATTCGATTTTCATAGGCGAACTAAGTTTATTGAACTTGGACTAGTGTAGGTTATGTGGTCTAATGGGGCTAGTTTATCATACTAAGATATACCGTTGGTTTTCCAATTCTTGTTAACCATAGGACACACCTTTCAATATCCTTTTGTTTGACAGGATGACTGGAATGTCAACTTTAAGAAAATGTAAAATGGATTATTCAGTAGTAGACCATTCTAATTCAGTTACAAAGTTTGTAGTATATATGCAGAGAGTGAAATCCAAGGAAACACGTTTATAATTATGCTACAATGTTTTAAGGCATTTCAAGGAGATTTTCACAGTTAAAAAACAACTATCATAATGAACTGAAATCATATAAACGACTGTTTTACTCTATTTTTTGGTGTTATTTTATTATTTATTTATTTATTTATTTAAACACATAAACATTGGTACAAGGAGGCACCAAATAGATATGCGCCACATAAATCATTCGATTTGTGTGAGGGCTGGGATACTGCCCGGGTGCCCAGACCGAAGCAGGCGGTTTTCGTAGGGGGCCGCACCCCGAGCCTTTGACCTGAAGGTCTGATCCACAAGGCAGTAGAGCATCGTGAGGAGATGCAGTCCCATGGTAACCGGTGACTGAAAATTGGTTCATACACCATTTATTCCTGCAGGATACTGGAGCCCATGTGCACCATTGGTTCGGAATCCGGTTAAAGCGCCGGACATTCGCTTTTCATCCTCTCAATTTCGAAAACAACACCCCCGCCACGAGAAGGCAGTGAGTGGGACTTCCCTGGCAGAGGCTATATACGCGTGGCCGTGTTAGGGCATTTTGAGAGGGGGGCGGGCCCACCCCACTCTCGGCCATACCAGGGCATTTGGGGGCTTTGGTGTTAGTGTTATTTAGTTCATAACACTATGTCCAATGTAAGATGATGAGTGATTAGAATAATGAATTTAACTAGAATTTTATCGTCTATTTCTCCTATAAATGTCCTGGATTTACTCAGAAATACAAAAAAACTCCCTTATTTTCATGCTTTTAACGTGTAATTTGATAATATAAATTTTTACTGACGAAAACAATCGAAGGTATTTTGAGTCTAATGTATCCCTATTTTTAGACTGTAAAGTATAAAACCGAATAAAAGTTGACGGCTTTCTTTCTGATGTCACTGATTTTAATTTAGTTTGATTGAATGTACATTTTAGTATATTAAAATATGGATTAAATTATTAAAAAGTAAATCGATTTTAACCACTAAAAGATATTGTATAGGGTACTTTACACTATTTTAATAACATCATTCTATTTTTCATGGAGTTCTGTTCTCTGAGCTGGATGATTTAGTCGTGGAGATTTCATCGTTCTTCTGAATGACATCATCAGCACAAATTTCAGTTAAAAGATAAGCGTTCTCATTTCTCCACATATAGTTCATAGCTTGTCCTGTACACCTCTGTGTTGACTGCTTCGTGTTGATCTTTACTTGAGGTAAACAATGACAGGTTTAAGGTCAACAAGAACCAATCAACATCCAAGTCTACAGGTCAAGCTTTGAACCGTATGTGAAGAAATTCGAACATTTCACTTTTACCTGAAGTTTGTGCTAATGATGTCATTCAGAAGAACAATGAATGTTCCATGATCAAACCATCTAGCTCAAAGAACAAAACTCCATCAAATTATTCATCTGTGCTACAAATCTTCTCCACTATCTCAACATTATTCTATAATAGTGTTCTACTATTCCATAGAATTCACTTGTCCCACAGAATTTATTTTACAGTTTATCACAGAATATTTTTTATCGTTACCATGTTTGTTTGCTTTTTTTTAAAAAAAAATCTGTTTCAATACTTTTCTTTTACAGAAGCATTTTGTTTAAAACCACAAAAACAAGTAGAAATTTCATGTGATGCTTCAATTTCAAATGTAGATGATCTAAGTGTATTTCAAGGACAATTATCCCGTCGACGAACTAGTTCTATACCAAGTGATACGGATTAAATCAATAACGTATTGATTTCATTCTGTTTTTTTTTGTTATTTTATCTGTATATTCCACAAAGTGTTTGTTTTTTTTGTTTTGTTTTCATTTTTCATGAAGTCAACTATTTCCAAATAGTTACTTCTTTAAAAAAGAAAAGATCAACAGTTTTTTTGTGTGTCTGTGATGAGATGATGAAATAATAATTCTGTTAGAATAACTGTCATGATTCTTCTGTTTGTCTCTAACAATTAACCTTCTTTGTATTTATGATTGTTCTTTGTAACACAATGATATGTATTCATTTGATCATCTGATTATATATATATTATGGATTGAAATAATAAAGAACCCATACCTCATCGAACTATAAACGTTCATTTAAGTTAATTTCCAAGTGTATGGTATTTTATATTTATAGCTTTTCTGATATGGTTACTTAGCGTTTTTTTTAGAGAGTTAGTTTTCTACGGAAAGCGGATATGAAAAGAATGAACAACAACTGGAAGGAGCTGGAAAGGATTGCCCAGGATAGGGTTGGATGGAGAATGCTGGTAAGAGGCTTATGATTCTTCACGAGAAGTAACAGGCGTAATAATAATAAATAATGATATGGTTGCTTGGTTGGCTGATCGACCAGTCGGTTCGTTGGTTGGTCAATGGCATTTACTTGTTTATAATATACAAGGAAAACATGTTTAATCATAAACTATAATTCTATTTCGTTAGTATTCATTTTGAAAAAAAACGACATTCACTTGTTTGTTTTTCTAAGCATTTACCATGTGAATATTCAATGTTCAAATGAATAAGAATAATATTTGTCTATTTGGTTCAATTTTAATACACTGATGAAAAGGACAGCTAATTATATATATTCGTCTACACGAATGGGATGTTAATTTGCCTTAGATGAATAGTTGGCGGCCTGCTTGAACATATGGGCTACCTGTTCCTGCCATCTAGATATTTCAACAAGTTATCTAATTTTGTTTGTTTTAATACATCATTATGTTTATTAATCGCATAGCCTATTCAGATGCGTTTTTTGAAAAGTGAATAATCTTTCGTTGTAAAAGATACAAAAGCCCCAATAAGAGGTATTTTGGTCACTGGCAATATACAGCAAAAAAAAATGTACACTATTCAGATGTTCATTTACTGGACTGCTAAAATCTAACTGTTGATCATTCAATATTTATCGTCAGGATCAATCAAGAAGAAAGAAACGGAAAATTGTTGGACTCATTTGTTATCAGAAGGGGTTTGTGGGGATTTTAGAAATTTCACAGATTGAAATCATGAACCAATTGAAGCTAGACCACCATGGAGAACCTGGAAGCATTAGACGGCCGTTTCGTCCTAGTATGGGACTCCTCAGCAGTGCGCATCCACGATCCCGCCCCCCACGAGACTCGAACCCAGGACCTATCAGTCCCGCGCCAGGCGCTTAACCAACTAGACCACTGAGCGGCATTCAATGGTGTTAATGTCTAACTTCAACCAACCCATGAAGTTGCGCCACCGTACACCATTGTCTTCAGTGAGCTAATATCTCACAACAGACCTGGTTTTCCATGGTGGTTTAGCTTCAATTGACTCATGACTTCAATCTGGGAAATAATTTGTGTTGAGAATTCTATATTATACCAAATATATAATATTGAATAAAGCTAATAATAATGAATAAATAAATAAATACACTAGATTCCCTTCCAATATCTCATTTTACAGGACTTTAACACAATTCAGATCAAGAATATTTAACTTGTCTGACTACAACGTAAATATAATTCCACACTGGAAACCGACAACAATCCACTAATAACTCATCTAACGCTGATCAGACGCCTGTCAGACAAGTCTGACTAAACAAACAACCAATCATTATCATCCGCGCCCACATATCAGAAATATAAAAGAAAATAATAATATCAAATCAGTCTAAATCCTTAAATAGTTAATGATCTTTCGTGAATATTTTATTTTATGATCATTGAAAATAACAAACAAGCTGTTTTATTCATATTGTGAAATAGATATTTGCTTTAACAGAGACAATACGAGAAATATTTAGCTGATATACACTTAGTATCCTTCATGAATTTAAATAAAGCCAGAACAGACATGAATTCAGAATAATATGAATTCATTATATTTCGTGGTTGTCCATCCTATGCTTGCAATCATATATGCATTGAAAGTTTAAATTGAGGTAAATATAGTGTGAAACAAATGACGTAGATGTTGGTCCACGGTGGTTTAGCTTTAATGGAATCATGAATTCAACTATTAAATTAATAAAAATTGGGGCCACGCTACACATTCATCAGAAAAGAGATTACTTACTTACTCCTGTTACTCCTCATAGAAGAGCATAGGCCGATCACCAGCACTCGCCATCCAACACTGTCCTGGACAAACCTTTCTAGCTCCTTCTAGTTGTAATTCATCCTTTTCATATCTACTTCTATTTTCCGACGTAATGTGTTATTTGGCCTTCCTCTTTTCCGCTTCCCTTCAAGGTTTCAAGTTAGGGATTGCCTCTTGATACAGTTTCATGATTTCCGTAATGTATATCCTATCCACCAACTCCATTGTCTTTTACTAATTTCCTCTTCACCTTGAAGCTGGTTTGTTCTCTCCCACAGCAGGCTGTTACTGATGGTATCCGGCCAATGGATGTTGAGTATCTTGTGTAGACAATTATTTATAAATACTTGTACCTTCTTGATGATGGTTGTTGTAGTTCTCCAAGTTTCAGCTCCGTACAGTAGAACTGCCTCGACATTCGTATTGAAGATTCTCACTTTGATATTGGTTGAATGTTGTTTTGAGTTCCATATGTTCTTCAACTGTAGGAATGCTTCCTTGCTTTGCCGATCCTCGCCTTTACGTCTGCATTTGATCCTCCTTGTTCATCGATGATGCTTCCTAGGTATGTGAAGGACTCTACATTTTCCAGAGTTTCGCCATCAAGAGTGATCGGATTGCTGTTCTCTGTGTTGTATTTGAGGACCTTGGTTTTCCCCTTGTGTATGCTGAGGCCTACTGATGCAGAGACTGCTGCTACACTGGCTGTCTTCATCTGCATTTGTTCATGTGTATGCGATAGGAGAGCTAGGTCATCTGTGAAGTCCAAATCGTCTAATTGGTTCTGAGCTGTCCATTGTATGCCGTGTTTTCCCTCAGATGTCGAGGTCTTCATAATCCAGTCGACCACCAGAAGAAAGAGGAAGGGAGAGAGTAGACAGCCTTGTCTGACTCTGGTCCTTACTTGGATTGTATCTGTCAGCTGTCCTCTATGCACGACCTTGCACTGTAGTCCAGCTAGTTGATCTCGAAGTCGGGCGTCTACTGCATCTTTCATCCGGTTCAGCAAAGCTCTGTCGGAGACTTTTCCTGGTATTGACATTAGTGTAATGCCTCTGTAGTTTTCACATTTGCTCAGATCTCCTTTCTTTGTAATCTTGATGAGGTGCCCTGCTTTCCAGTCCATCGGCACTTGTTCCTCTTCCCAAATCTTTTTGAATTGAAGGTAAAGCATGTTTGTAGTTACTTCGATGTCTGACTTCAGTGCTTCAGCTGGTATATTGTCTGGTCCTGCTGCCTTTCCGCTCTTGATTTGTCTGACGGCCATTCTAATTTCCTCCGTAGTTGGTGGATTGACATCTATAGGAAGATCTATGTGTGCTGCTTCGATGTCCGGTGGATTCATTGGAGCCGGCCTATTCAGGAGTTCCTCAAAGAATTCTACCCATCTGTTACGCTGTTGTTGAATTTCAGTGATTTTCCTGCCTTCTTTGTCTTTGACTGGCCTCTCTGGTTTACTGTATTTCCATGATAGTTTCTTCGTTGTATCGTAAAGTTGTTTCATATTTCTTTCCCTTGCAGCTTTTTCCACCGTCGTTGCTAGTTCTTCCACGTGTTTCTTCTTGTCGGCTCCAATGCTCTTCTTCACTTGCTTGTTTGCTTCTATGTATTCAGCTTGTGCTTGGACTTTCTCTGTTCGTGTTCGGCTGTTGTTCTTCCTTTTTTGATCCTATCCAGTGTTTCTATAGAGATCTATTCCTTGCAATGTAGCTTCTTGAGGCCCAGAATCTCCTGATACGTTGAAGTTAATGCTTCTTTGATACCTCTCCAGTTGTCCTCCATAGTAGTTTCTTCTTCCTTCAGTAGATCTCGTAAGGCTTGGAACCTGTTGTTGAGAGCTATCTTAAATTCATTGAGTTTGTCAGTATCTCGAAGGAAGGCTGTATTGAAGCTTTGTAATACTGTTTGTCCAGTTTTTCTTTAGCTTCAGTTTTAAATTGGCCACAACAAGATGGTGACCTGAAGCTATGTCAGCTCTTCTCCTGGTTCTCGCATCTTCCATTGTCCTTCGGAATTTTCAGTTGGTGCAAATATGATCTATCTGGTTCTCTTTGGTGTGTTCCGGTGAGATCAATGCTGCTTTGTGTATACATTCGTGTGGAAACATCGTGCCTCCTATGACCAATTTGTTGAATACATACAGATTTGCAAATCTGTCTCCATTTTCGTTTCTCTCTCCCAGTCAATCCATGTCGTCCCATGATATCTTCATATCTAGTGTTGTCTATTCCAACTTTAGCATTTAGATCTCCTATAAGAATGGTGAGGTCCTTTCTTGGGCACTTCTCTATGATTGGTTGCAGCCGCTCGTAGAATTGATCTTTAATGTCCTCATTGCTATCATTGGTGAGTGCATAACATTGAATAATATTCATTGTGATCCCCTCCTTTTTTGAATGATGCTTTGATGATTCTGGATCCGCGAGGTTCCCATCCTACAAGTGCATTTCGTGCTACTTTGGACAGCATTAGAGCGAATCCCTGAGTGTGTGGAACATTTTCCTCTTTGTGACCTGAGAATAGTGGCATCGCTCCCGTATTTAGCCTTTATTGTCCAGCTCGGGTCCAATGGGTTTCTCTGATTCCCAGTACTGTCAAGTTATATCTCCTCATTTCCGTTGCCATTTGGCTGGTCTTCCCGGTCTTCCACAATGTCCGGACGTTCCACGTACCTGGTTGTTAGAACAGGGATTGACCTCGTGACTTCCGAAAGAACTCAGCTCTCACCATGAGGCGTCATAGTTCTTCTTAATGAAGACCTTCTGACTCTCAGGGCAGGGGTTAAATGGTTTGAATTATTTTTTCTGGTTAGCGTTTTTTTAGCGAGTTATTTTTCTATGGAATACGGTCTCTAATCACATGCCCGACCCTCCTTCTTTACCCGGGCTTGGGACCGGCAGTAACTCTGGAAAGCTACATGCAGAGTTGGACAAAAAGGTATGTTTTTACAGCAATCGCTTCAGAAAACCGAAAAAAGCAGTGTCTCTTTGTTTGTAAATAATCTTGAAAGCTTGAGGAATGTCAAAGGTATATCCGATGTCAAGTGAATGCTGAGATATTGCACTGTTGAGAGCCCTTGCCTCTCATAGTCCGCTTTTTTTCGAAAATGTTAACATACTCCTAGTACCATTACTTGAATCAAGAAGTTAGTAGTCTCTATTTATTTAGTTACTTTAGGAATACATTAAAGTGACATACCAATATTTTAAAGTATTCGTTTCTGAATTTGGCTGGTTTTTAAAGAAAAATGATTAAGTTACTTACTTTGAATAAATTTCCAAACAGAATTACCCTTTCACTTGATTGATAGTGGAGACATACTGGAAATGAAAAAATCGGAAACAGTGTTGTCCAACTACCTCACAAAATCATGTCTC